TTTCGTTCTGGAGGCAGTGCTTGCACAAAAAGCAGCAAAGAATAGAAGAGAAGAAAAGTAACTTCATGCGTTATTTTCAGTTCTTTCCACGTGAACATTTATATTTATAGATAATTTTCTACACCGATGTATATAGGTTATGTAATCCACATTTTGTATAAGCCATACGGCAGATGAAAATATGTTTTCATTACTCTCATTCTAAAACAGACGTACAAAAAAGCGTTCGTTATATAGACGACACTTTTTATTTTCTTTATATGGAATGCAAGCTATTTCTATACTTGAACTTTTTGCAGTTTACATCTGCATTTTTTGACTTTTTCAACGTACAGGTACATAAAAAAGTAATTAATTCACAGTGGAAGTGTACAGCAGTTTCAGTGAGTGAGAGAATAGAGAGACTTAAATCCTTGCCACGCTTATTATCGCAAAGTTAAACAGTCTTCCTTTAGCTATCTTGGGTATTAAAACTGGGCCTTTCTCAAGAAGTGTGCATCAGATATGAGTACTTCTCTGATGTATAGGCTCAATTAAACGTATAGACTGTGCCAAGACCTCAAAATAAAAATGCAAGAAGTGAGAAATGCATTAAAAGTTGGTATTTTTTATAGTGATTGTGAGTATCTTCGGTGTAAGATCGCTGTTAGTGACTCTCAGGATGTGGCAATGATCGGTTGAGTTCTGTATGATGCACAGAGGATTGGGACTCAGCCATTTCGCCTCATTCACAGAATATTAGATTGGCTCTAATAAGGAACTGATGTTCGCGATAATATCTACGGGTATACATTCTCTGAAAGTTCAAGCGTGAATGTTTTTTCACATGCGACAAACGTTACCTTATTGGTAATATTCACATACGAACCAGTCTATGTAATTACAGTCTACTGATGAGTGGTCTGATCAGGCAAAGTCGAGATTCTCTAGGGTAGTTAGAAAAGCAAGTTACATGGCATGGCGAGCTCGTAAGAACTTTTGCAAGCCCCGTGACGTGGCTTTTCAACACGCATGGCCACGCCCACGACTAAGTAACGTGTCCGGCCGTGGGAAATCCAAAGTGGTCACGTCAAGTTTAGAACGTGTAAATTCACCTGGGTAGTTGGATCAATAGAGCAAGAATTGCGTTTCTTGCCCATACTTGTTGGTAGTTTATTTCCAGGAAGAAACCAAGAATAATCACCATAAATCAAAGAGACTTCTTGCACCAAAAAAGGCAAGATCTTGTGACATTTCTTGCGTACGATCTTGCGCAAACAAGTCTTCGCAAGAAAGTCGACTAGTGATAGCATCTAATAATGTGTTTGTGCAGTGACATCAAAGGACTTTGTTTAGAAGACCGCTTGCCGAGAGGTCTTTTTCAAGAACACCACAAAGGTTGGCCACTTGTAGACACAAGGTAATATTAAGAGTAGATTTTAGTGAAGAGATATTTGACGTTCTGGTCCAGTTCATTTTCAGCAGACGCCTTCCACCCCTCGGACGTCTCGTCAAACCAAGTTCTTTTGATCTTAATAGCACCATTGCCAGATACAATACTAACAGGATTGTATCGGTTTGGATCAAATTAAAGTTAATTTCCGTCTCCAGCGGAGAATTACACTTTTCATCATTTTCAAGTGAATATGGACTGAACTGTAAGACATCCCCTGAGTCCATTTCATAACGTAGAACCCTGAATTTATTCTCATATGAAAGAGTGAATTCTATATTACGTAATCCAATGGAAAAGAGCAATTTACCAGTTGAAGGTCTTTCAGAAATGATCTCTAAAAACCAATTATCTTAGAATACATTTTTAAGAAAGGGTGAAAATACAACACGAAGAAAGTTCAACGCGAAATTTTTAATACAGATATTTAAGCAGAGGAAAGTTCAACACTGAGAGAGACCGGCACAAGCATTCGTGTACCATAATTTAAGATTTATTGCCTTCTTACCGATGATAAGTAATAAACATTTATTACTTTTACCGGATAAGATAATAGTTAGTAAAAGTAAAATGGTACTCCTAATCAGTAGGCGGTTCTATAAGGACCTTTTTGCCTACTACATTGCGATTCAAAATAGCAAAGCATTTGTTAAATAATACAATACTGTATTATTTAACAAACAAAAGAATAAGAAGACGTGGCTAAAATAGTCGAACAATAGAGACGAAGAAATGTTTCTTTTCTGCTTCGCTTGTTTCTTCATCTTTAATTGGTATAAGACGATAAGAGAATTGAAGAGAGCATACAGTTTGTTTTTAAATTGCTCGTGCATGACGAGAAATCAACCTCCCCAGGTCACATAAGTATTTAAGTTGAAATATAGTCCAGCAGAAGAATAACAGTTGAATTATTGAGTAGACGTTTAAGAATGAGCATTAAACCCGAAATCACACTACTACTGGTGCTGCTGGTATTCAGTTGTGGACAAGTTGGTGGCGATGTAGCAGCAGCAATTTCCCGTGAGGTTGGTAAACGTAGTAATATTGCTATTGCGGTTAGAAGTACTGACAATATTAAATCAAAATTGTTAAATTCACTAATATTATTACAAATTGATAAACGTGCTGCACGATTTTCATTTCGAACAGAAATTGATGCATCATCAAATGATATATTAACTTTAGCTGTTGCATCAGCACAAACCTTACTAGGTGTTATACCTGGTGTTGGACCATTTCTAGCATTAGGTTTTACTGTTATATGGTCATTAATGGGTCCCAAATTTGAAGAAGAGGAAGTTTCGTTAGAAACTCAAGTTCAAGGTTATGTACAAGAAGCAATTGCACTTTCAAAAACTAAAATATATGAAGGTAAATTAATACAAGTTCACGAAAATTTAGATTTTTATAATCGTTCATCAATGGATTGGTTTAATGATAATTCGAGTACAACAAAACGGGATATTGTACGTGACCGGTTTAATATTGCTTATGATAAAGTAACAGAAATTGTTAATGTTGGTGGTGCACAAGACTATTTATATGCTATAATTAGTTCAACAACACTTGCACATCAACTTATTATAACATTACTAAAAGACGTGACACGTTTTGGTATGCAATGGGATTATGGTGCAAGCGTATTTAATAAATTTATACAAGATCGTCCAAAATATGCAATAATATCATATAACCAAATTTCTAGAGCATTTAATCAATTTGATGGAGTTTTATATAGTGCAAGTTCACAGGAAGCCAAAGGTGAAGTACCATATGTAGCAATACAAGCATATCCAAGTGTTATGATACGCGCATGTTTCTTACAGCGTACTTTACATTATTTACGTACAGAATTATATCCATATGGTGAGCCAGCACAAATAACCTCAGGCAGCTTGCCACAGAATACATTGTACTATCAAATCTATGGTGAATTAGATACAGCAAGCGGATATTCGAGTGGAAGTAAGAATTATAACGTGGATCAGGAACGTAAAAGACATGCTGAAAATTGTGTCTTAGGACGCACTACACCATATAGGGAACAAGTAGCCCAATGCACTCCTAATGGGAATGGCGAAAAGCCAAGTTGCATTTCTTTCACGTCATTCTATCAAACATTTAGATCACGATCAATGGCAGAACAAGCAGAACTTGGTACAAATGTTATAACACCATATTTGGCTGTAACGGTTACTGGAAACTATTTTATACGAATGTATTTTACACCGTCGAACAGTATTATAAATATACTTTCACCTGTGTTAAATATACATATAAGTATGGAATTTTATACAGCACGTGCTGTTGTTGCACTAAGGCCTACAAAGCAAATTATTGCACCTTTTCCCGTAAAAGAAATTGTACCAAGTTCTAAGAGTGGCCCGAAGGTTATTTATAAATTTCAAAATTATAAAGCTACAACGATGATATATTTTTGGTGTATGACAACAGAACTCACATCGTATAAATCAATTAATCTTACAGCATTAGAAAAATTTCGTGTTTTAGTTGATAAGACACAAAACTGGACATTTCATGCTTTAGAACTTTATCGAGTAGATCCATCAACAAATGGTACACATACGTGTATGTAGAAAACTTTAAATAGTAGCGAAAGACAATTTCATCTTATTTTAACCCAAATATAAACTCAAATTAATTCATTATTGTTTATTATTCCAAGACATATACTTTTCTGCTAGTTTTTCTAATTGTATTCCTTCTTTTTATTATTTATTTCCACTAATAAATTTACATAATCTAAATCTGATTAGTTAACTAAAACTGTTGGCCATAGAATGATTCTAGAATAAGTCTTTTGATAGATATGAACTAATGAGCGGCGGCAATATTCGGTTAAGAAAGCATGCACTAGCTGGTCAAGAATCTGTCAAGAAGGCCAAAACATTAAAAGAATTAACATTTATTGTTTTCTTATCTCATTCGATTCTGTTCATCAAACTCTGATTATGAAATTTTCTTTAGTCTTAGAGACCTCATAGTTCAGGAGTTAAATACAAAGTAGAATTGACCACGTCAATGCACCATACCTAGGTCCGTCAAGGAATAACCAAAAAGTAATGAAGAACAACAAAGAGCATCAGTAAGATAAATAGAGGGAGTGAGGGGAGAGTGCAAGAAACAATAAAGTTAGAATTCTTTAATTTATAAATTGAATATCTTTATGCAGTAGTAGCCATGCATTTAGAGAAGAATCTGCATTGGATATCGAATCATTAATCGACTGAAATAGTGCAGCTCGCTGCGTGTAATATAAGGAACAATTTAGTATGTAATGCTTAGCACTTTCTTTCTTTACTTTATCTGATGCTAATCCTTTGATGTAAAAGTCATTATTTAATGACGAAAAATCGCAACGCTTCTGATAATAAAGTTTATCAATACTACGTTTTACCCACATACTCGAAAAGCTTTTGTATTGCGTATTGATGCTTTGAGCTTTAAGGTAAAAGGTCTTAAAGTCCTATACAAACGCATTTCTTCATTCAATTCATTCCATTTTTGAATAGCAGACCAGAAGGAAAAAGCACTTTACAGAACCGAATTAGCCACGCTTCCATGTCAAACAAATCGTATACGATCGCATTTGAATCAGACAAAACCGTACCAAATAGTATGAAAATCATATATGAATCTTAGTATCCGATGTGTCCTCTTGATCGTATAATACGATCGTACAAGATCATACAACTTCCTATGAAATTTGTATATAAGTACCTTGCCACAAGACTCTCAGTATGTATGTCCGTCACACTGCCACGTGACTGTACGCAGGTTACACTACCACGTGACTATGTGTATCTAGGTCCGTCACACTGTCACGTGACTATGTGTATGGGCGCCCCTCGCAGGCAAGTTTTTTTTCAAGTGCACACAGAATAAATGGAGCGAAGAAATATAGAATTGTTACTGGATCGAACTTTGTATACTCCACGCTGTTGATTTTGAGCCCGTATGAGGGCTCTGAGATATCTGATGGGATAATATGACAGACATATATTGTCAAATGCGCAATTTGCTGACATACTCGAAAACTTGTTTTTTTAAATGTCTTTTTGTCATCGTAGGTCTGAATTTTTTTGCAAACACAAATAAGTAACTTCTTTTGAAATAACTATATTTCTTATGTACGCATGATATACGATATGATAAGACCAGGTAGGACTAGTGCAAATATACATACATAACACAATCTATATGGACAAATTCTCTTTTGGGCACGGTGTGATACTTTCCGTGCCCAAAAAACCGTTTGACTGTTTTGGGCACGGTTTTCCTTTCTGAAACTCGGGAATGCTGCGCTCCATTCGCTTGTGAGCTGTGTACTACAACGTCAATGGTACGGGTCGCTAATTTCCAGCAATTCCTCTTTCTGTCTTCTATATTCTTACAGTGATATAGTAAAAAGGCTGTTGTTGATAAAATTATTGGCGGAACGTTCGCGAATGTTGCATAATCCATTAATCCATACTATACACAGTTGCTTTATGCTAAGCTATAGTGTCTCAATCTCATAGCAAACAAAAAAGAAAAACGTGGCACGTAGAATATGGGTCTCTATCGACAAGTTTTCGTCTAAGGACGAGTTTTACATATATATTAAACAAAACAATGTCTCACAGTTCCGTACCGAAACAGTAAACGCAGGTACAAAAATTACACATCGTTTGTTCGTTACGTCGAAAATTCCCTGAGTGTGACTACCAGATACGTACGGTGTTAAATTCTGGTAACGAAATATCTGTGTTCTCATCGAACACTCATAATCATTCTATCCGTGCTCAAACTACACGTGCTCCTTCGCCTGTACGTGAAATTGTCTTGAAATCGGCTGCTGCTAAATTGAGCCAAACTCAGACCCAACCTGCTGTTGTCAATGAGTACAATGGACAAGTCTCGTCGTCGAAGGACTAAGACTAAGACTAAGACAGTTTTATTCACGAAAAGTGTGAGTCATCAAAGGTCACCGATCTGTAATAACAATGACTAAAGCCAAGCAACATCAAAAGAGTAAAAAGAAAAAGAACATAATAAAGAGGACATCTAACGTTAGGACCAGAAGTAGTAAAAAGGAAAAAAACGAAAGTAAAAAAGTTTTTTAAAAAAAATACGAAAAAAGAACAAATATAAATTCATAACTGACATGTTTCACTGGAAGAGATACTGAAGTAAAGCTGTTTTGAAAGATGTTAAAGAAGAAAGACAAATAACTGACTCTGGGAGATTATTCCAATCACCAATTGTTGAATAAAAAAAAAAAAAAAGAAGAAAAATGCACCGTTTGCGGAGAAAAACTATCAACAGAAGGTGACAAGTCTACTGAAATATCAACGTTTAGTAACACGGGCTAATGTCTACTCTGTTCATGATTTTTGTCAGTGGTGTCAGCTACGTTCTACTACTCCCAGTTTACAGTTACCGCACGATGTTTATGTACCACAGTTCGAAATCAATTCCTCCGAGGATCTGTTTGTGTTCTTCACTACTCGTCAGCTGATCTCTGTTGGTGCTCTGTCATATCTACTTCAAGCTGACGCAATATTCAAATTGACCTGGCAAAAACTACCTTTGCTGGTGTTTGGCTGTAGTGATGTGGACCGCCATTTCCACCCCTATGGCATCGCTCTGATTTCAACAGACGAAGCTGCTAGTTCATATGCTAGCGGTTTTCTAACCTTTCCCACTGTCAACCATTCTCACGAGAAAGATGCTCATAA